AAATATTTCATAGTTCAGCAATACTGATCAATCTAATAAACTCAAACCTACACCATCCTCCCTATTCTGGTATTTTAAAGAGTACTTAGCGTAAATATTAAGCAACCTAACTAATAGGGTTCCAACTCCCAGCAACAACAAAAATAAATAAATAAAAAATAGGGAACCACCCCTCACGCTCCACCTCATGATGCTTAATCAACGTAATCAACCTTAATTTGATGCAGTGTGAAAAAAATGCACAGAAATAAATTATTTTTCAAGAAATATTAAATAGATTCAACATCTTTCTTCAACAAAATTGCAGACTGCACAGATGGTACCTTCCCAAAGGAAAAAGTACTATAGCTTACTAGGGTATATTAGACTTAATAGTCACTATATACAGTAATTGACTTCTATTCATTTTACATCAAATTAAAACTTTGGGTGTCAGATAATTATTTATTAAAAGCTAGACATTTTAAATGAGAATAAGAAAGAAAAATATGTCTTTGTGCCCCATTTTCCCTGTTCATGCCCTATCGGCCCCCCTGGCTAAACTTTGCTAGATCCGCCCCTGCACAGTTACCAGCGTCAGCTACGTAGAAAAAGATCCTCGAGTAGAAATTAATATTAAATAAATTCTAACAACAGCTTATCAAGTTTAAACGTGCTGCTGTTGTTCAGCCGCTGGTTTCCTCTTTCTGGTGCAAAGTGGGCCAAAAGCAAACTAGAGAGACGGACTCGCGACAGAAAAGCCGATCAGCTGATCGTTAAGCAGTTTCATGATTGAAGTAGCAGCAAGAAGAGGCAGTCGCTCCATATATCGCTTGTTAAGCTTAACGTGGGAATGCTTTACAAACATTCTGAGATGGACTTACACACTTGCTTTACTTCTCTCGGGGATAACTTTGTCGGAGATGAAATGCCGGGTTGCTAGCGAAGCTCCAAATGCTATCCAGACCACCGACAGGTCCCGCATGCCACAGCCGCTCTATCACGTGATGCACACTGCTCCGACGTGCTAACGTTCTGAGGTGAGTTACGGCGCGTTGCAAGTTTTGTGAGGTGCTTTCGTGATATTTAATGGATCGGATTACATTTTTTATTTTTCTCCGATATCCGATCCAGTAATTTAGGTCAGTATCGGACCGATACCGATACGTAATATCGGATCGGTCCATCTCTAGTACATAGTGCACTGTACATCAAAGAAAAATCTTTTTGATTTGGAAGCATGGTAAGTCTAACATGAACAATGTCAATCACTTTAACTTTAATGTATTTTTATTTTATTTTATTTTCAAATGCCATTTGACCCAGTTATTCTGGGCCTACTTTTTCTGTTCATTTTTGCCTTTGCTTGTCACACAAATTATTTTAAAAGAGCAATGCAGATTCGAGACTGGTTTGGCTTACAGTCAAGCTAATTTAGTCATGCGTTGTTTCATAGGATGTTAAATCAGATGATATTGTTAGACTCATGACACATTTGAGGAAACAGAGATAGAGATTATTGTCAGAGTCGGAATGATGTGATGATAACTGAAAGACTTAGAATTCATGCTTAGCCAATTAAATTGCTCCCCGTAAGCTTCATCCACAGCCATTTATCACTGAAATTATGTGAGAGCAAAAGCTATTCATGAACTCTGACTCAGCAGAATGTGTGCAGTGAGCCCATATTCTTGAGTATCAAGTCCTAGTGCACTGAAAAAACTGATTATTTCAAACTAATTAACACCCCTCCAGCCAGTCAGGATGGAGTGCACACAGAGGCCACGGTGTTATTTAGGAATCATAACTGAGAGGGAAATTTTCACTACGAATATTTTTATGATGCAAGGTTGTGCAGCAATAGACCAATTTGCTTCATCAAAGTATCCAGTTAGTCACCCTTGTATACAAGGAGTATTGCACAGAAGGATCTCACCCTCACTCCTTCTCTTTATAATGACCTCTCTGATTCGTACACTTTAGCTGGTTATGTTGTCAAATTTTTCGTTCAATTTCCACTTAGTTCAAAATGTAAATAATCGGCTTTTAAAGATAAACCTACCAATTACATACAGTTTCTGTCAGATCCTTCCCGCATGCATACAGACACACGCTCCTTATGCTTTGTAACTAGCATCTTAAAGAGGCTTTCCAGTCTTGACAGCTCAATTTTCTGATTATTATAGCATAATTGTGTCAGTTAATGGGTATTCTCATATTTCATTTAGATTTTTCTTTTTTTATGACAAAAAAATCTAGTTTGAGGCCATATTACGTCTAAGCTGGCAATTACAACAAATTGCTCCTAGTAATGGAGAAATATGGTTGCTTATGATAAGTTCCATATGGACACTTTTTTTCTACATTTCTGTCTTTTTGGGCTAGCAGTCAGAGGATTTATGCAATAGTGGACGGCTGTAAATCACACCACAGACACATATTTAAATGGAAATATGAGTACAACAGCCTAGTAACACAAAGAACCGTAGGTTCCGTAGCATAACAGGCGTACACACACACGTTAATGAATCATGAAGGTAGCTTCGAGTATGAGTGTGGGTGCAAACACACAAACACATTCAGACACATGCACAACTTGTCAAGTCAAGCATTACCAAAGGGCTTCGGTATGGATTTTACACTTGAGCTAAACCTTCCTGACTTTTCTCAACAATACAGAGGCCTCAAACCATGTCAGCTTTCCCAATGCCATTCACTTAGTATTCACAGACAATTCACCCTCTGGTTTAAAACCTCATTTAGGAATGCTGTGTATGGAGGGAGGTCTGAAGAATATTTTAATATCATTATGTGGTGTCATGTATCTACTTTAATGGACTGAGACAGGCCATGAAAAGACACATTTTTACAAGCTGCTTTTAGAAACCACAATATTCCTCATATGTAGTAACAGTGTTAGATGTTTGCCAGAGATTTTAAAAGTAGCACCGGAAATATCCTACATGTACTTATGAGAAGGCTTAAAACTGAGATTGTATTTTTTTCCCCATGAGCACAGCTCTAAAAGCTGGAGAAAAAAGCAATAAATGATGAACAAAAAACAAACATTCTTACTTCTTTGAAAACTTCTTTCTCAGCTAGCAATAAAATGTTAGTGGTTTCCTCTTTTTTCTTTCTTTCTTTCTTTCTTTCTTTGCTTTTGGCGTTCTCAAATGAACACTGAAGCAATCTGATACTCAGAGGGACTCAGAGTATGTTGGACTATATAACGTCCATGACCAATAATGATATAGGAATGTGTTATGAGGAAATCGAGGCATTTGTCATGGAGGAACAACAGAATGTGCGGCAGGAAATTGACTGACTGTTCAACATGGCTTTGCAGTGAAATCGAATCCACTCATGTCATGCATGCACATTCAAAGACAGACGTTCTATTTAAACATTTATATGGACTTTGTGGCTGTGCTTTTACACAAGCATATGTGCACATAAAAAAAAAGTTTCCAGTAAACAACAAATACTTGCAAACTGTTTCTGGAGCAGAATGCTGTTCTTCAAACAGAATTTAAGATGAAAAGATTAAGACTAAAAAAAGATTATGTCAAACATGGTACATAAACAGAGGCATCTCATCAACAAAGAACGATAACGTTGCTAAAATTATGGCCGGGACGGCTCATACTGTTTGTGCCTGCCAGCGATGGCACCACTGCAGGTGGCTGTTGAGAGCAATCATAGAGCCACAGATGGAGCATGTAAGGTTGCATCTGGAGGGAAAGATGGCAGAAGGCTTGCATGACTGGAGCCTCTAGGCTCTCAGCTGATGGGTCCATTGGTTTTCAAATGTGGCTTCACCAGAAAAACATAATGAACACAGCAGTGGCAGAAATCAACTGATGGCTGTAGCATAAGAGTCAATGCTTTTTATGTGGTAATATTTATGAAAACATGATTAAAAACGAAGTATTGTAAAACTGGTTGTGATTACTGTTTGTCAAGATGTTTGCACGACAAACCTTTCCAAAATGTGTTGTATCAAAAAGGCAGATTTGGCTCATGACAAAAGAAAAGTTGAGAAGGAGATGCTTACAACATTATGCAAACGAGCTATGGAAAAGCAGAAGGGATTTGATTATATTCACTGCAAAATATGAAACAACAAAACAAACACACATCAAGCGTTTATCGATCTGCACTCAGTAACAAAAAATTAAATGACAATAGAAATGCAATGGCAGAAAGGAACAGGGCTACAGCAGTGCCCATGAAATGACAAGGGGAATAAAGGAAAAAAAATAAAATATGTACTCCTAATGAGTGGAATCGCAGAGAAACAGATGGTGTGTTCATCTGGTGTTTGGACTGAGGTTTTTATCCACCAGACATCAATTTATTGGCCGAAGAACTGTGCCGCTTCAGGCAGCCAGTTTACATGCTCTGTCCGGTTTTGTTGTTGCTAGGGTTGCTTCGGTATTAACAGTGTTCATTTGCTGGTTGATATCAGTGTGAGGAACATACATGTCCAAGGTGACCTTTTAAATTACATTCTACTGCATGGTAATGTGAAAACACTCCAGGCTTTTATTGTCTTGGGAAAACTGACATTGAGTAATGTGCATTGATTTTAATCACAAATTAAAATCATGTCAATAACCTGAAATGTACTGAATCTAAATGCAATGTGCATTGTCACTAAGCTCACACATATAGCCACAGACCTTTCCACACAAATATGCAATCTAACCTAAAATCCTTTCATCTATTTTGGAGCCTATCCGAGTTATCACAGAGTGAAAAGCAGGGTACCCTCTGGACAGGCTGCCCGTCTATTGATGGGCTAACACAGAGAGACAGACACCCATTCATGTTAACACTCACACCTACTACCAACATATTTAAATAGTGGAAGACACTCACAGAAATCATTAAAACTATACAGAGAAGGACACCTATCAGCGAAATGGAACACAAGACCTTCTTGGTGTTAACCAGTGCACCACTGTGCCATCTATAACCAGATACAATTGAAGAAACAAAAAAAAGGTACACACACTCACCAACTGATTGAAGCTAGAGTCATTTAAAGGGTCTAAATCCATCTTAATTTGTTTTTAATCCTTCCTGATAAGTAGCTCTTTTCTACTTTGGCTCAAGTCAAAGGAAGCTGAGTACTATGTGTCTCTCATACACATTTCCACAGCAATACACACACAGAAAACAAGAACAGTCATGTTCTACCAGAGGGAGGATCACGGGAATACGAGAAATGGCATCTTAACTCCGACATACCAGTGTGCATGAAAAGGTTCATCAGGGTGTGTTGGCTCGCTGACTATTGTCATTGTAGATGACATCACACAGCACTTGTTGATATATACATGTACACATTTGCACAGAGGATATGTGAAGTCTTGTATGTATTTATGCCTGTGTAATGTATAATGTTTGTGTCTGAAAGTGTAGCATTTGACAGGTATATGTCTCTTTAGCCACAGGTGAAGTGAGATGATAACACTGCTTGGAGAGACAGTCCAACAGAATGGGTTTATTTACCCATCTCTGTGCTATTTTCTTGATTGTCTGAATTCTGCACTGGGTATGTGTGAGAAAAAGAGTTGCACAGACACACAAGCACTCAGACAGAAACTTGCACAGAGGCCAACATGTGAGCAATCAGACAAATAAATATGGCTCTACACATTGGCAAACATCTGGGAGGGGTCTGGGATCTTAGGCATCTTGCCAAGGTAAACAGAGGAATTTGCCAACCTTGACATTTTTGGTAGTAAGAGATGCCTCTCAAGGTGACAGCTCTCACTAGGTGTTAGTGGGAGATAAGCAAATTTGTCATTGTGAGAATATCAAAGGGTGAAATCTGGAGATTAAAAAAAAGGAAAAAAAAGTGGATGCAAAAGAAAAAAAAATGCAGTTCCCCTAGCTGCTACTTGAGGCTCCCTCTAAAACTCAGTAAATCCATATAAAATGCCCAAACAGAGATTATTAAAATGCATGTTTACAGCCAGCCACATTGACTAACAGTTGTCCTGATCAGTGTTCGGCCTCAAACACTACTTTAAGTATATGCATGTCTCTGTTTTGTGTGTGCTACTGCACCCTTTTAAAGCACTGCCTGATTATTATTTCTGTGTGGTATGGACCATCAAAGAATTTTGTGCTTCAGATTTGGTACGTGAAATTCTATTTTATTGATCCACTACTTAGCTCTAAGTAGCTGATATGTCTCTCTCTCTGTGCCATACCCATACAGTTTGAATTTGAATACGTGCTACTAGCGCCAGCTGATAACTTAGCATTCCTTTTCATCCACATAAGGCAACTTTTATCTTTCAAAAAACATCAACATAGCATCAGCCAAAGTGCTGATGATTTAGTTTAAAAGTCTGGAAAGTAAAGTGTCACATCTATCTTTTATAATGCCTATGACACATTTGCATGTGTTTGTGTTGATGATTATGCTAGGCGTCATGCTATGATCTATCTTCCTTTTTTTTCACAGCGACATTAAAATGGTAACATACTGGCATACAGTAAGATACTAATCACCCATTAGTCTGTACTTGAATAAGCCCACCTACCCAGATTTAGAGGAGAAAAACAAGTTAAAGAACAAAAGTGTTTACATACTCACAAAACAGTCTCTGTGTTTAATGGAGCAGTAAGGCTTCTTTTGTCTACTTGCAACAAAGTTGTGTGTGCACTTTTTTCTATACTTTATATTCATTTTCTTTTGTATCCACGATCTCATTTTGTGCCTGTTGTTTGTCAACAACACAGGAGACACAAAAACAGGTTATGTAAATAATCCTCTATTCACACACTTTCACTTTTGTGCACTGCAATGGTGGTGTGTGAGATGATTCTTTCCTTTCACCCTGACCACCTGTTGTGTGAAGTTCAGTGCATTAGACAACTATTGCATTCTGTGATGACAAATACGTTGCAAAAATAAAAACCCAAACCCCTAATCAGGTGAAGTGAATCATCTTTTTTTCCTTCTACCTTTTCTGTGAAATGAGTCAGACGAGGGCAGACATACATGGAGACAAGTTTAATAGAGCGTTATATACTATTACCAAACCGGACAACTGAGCAACTGTAGTTTAAATATTATTTATTGGGTGGGTTACCTGAAGCAATCAGAGAAAATTGTAAAAGAAATAATCACATCTATAGAATGATATTTATTTATTCATTTATCTATATGTGTTCAAAAATTGCTTGCTTTTGCAACATATTCATCTTCATAGGTTTTATGTGGCTTTATTGCAACAGTATAAAGCACCTGTCTACTTAGTGGCTTTAATGGAAACTCTGCTTCAGACTTTAAGGAAACTTTCTGGATGAATGAAAATTGCCAAAAAGAAATCGTCCATTAAAATGAAAGTTGAAATGATTAACATAGTAAAAAATAAAACCCTACAACCTCAATACTTATACTTATTGTAGCAGACATCAATTTCTAGTTGACAAATAAACAATACATTTAATTTTAAATTAATTAGAATAATGAAGTCGTCATGAAAACAACTTCCGCTTACCTTTGTTTTTTGCATGCTCAGCTCTTGCAAACAATTAATCCCTTGTGAACCTCGGTGATAGAACCTGACAGGGTTGCCAAGCAATTTGGGATATGATTGCAAATCTATTAGAGGAACATGGAGGGACTGTCAGATCCATATAACATATTAGGAGCAGATGAAAACATCTCTCACTGTAGTGTTTGGGCCGGCACTCTTAAATAAAACATCCCTCTCATAATTATGTTTTTTGATGTTTAAATCTCTGCATATTTCTGTTGCCTAATCTGCAGAACAGGTAAACCCATTCCCCTTCACACTCTTGTCTCTTTCATTCACCCTAAAGTTTTCCTCTCTCTTTCTAAGACCCCACTTTTCTCACTTTAATCACCCTCCCTCCCTCTTCCCTCTACCCCCTTCTCTTTCTCTGCCTGCAGTAGCTACCCAATAAAGGATGTTGTTAATATCATTAGGCAGACTTCCTCTCCGGCCAAGCGCCCAGCCCACTCCCTTTCAGCCATAATCAAGCGTGCACACTAACTATCAAAGGAGACATTGCTAATAAACTACCACAGTGGAGCAGAAAAACACACACGTACGCTCCTGCCGAGAAAATACTGTTGGCTAAGCGCACTAAAATAAATGTGTGCGTGTGCATGGTTCTTGGGGATAGGATTGTGGGGTGTTGGTGCGGGTTACACAGACAGCACTAATAAACTATACTCCAAAGGCAAGCAGTGTAATGCAAATGTGCCACTTAAGTATACTAAATTAATTGGGGGCGAGGGACATGTACATAACCAGACATAGCTAATAAAATATGCTGTGAGAAGTGGCAAATACTGTCAGTTTAGTGTGTTTAAATGATAGATTGGGGGGGGGGGGGTTAGGCAAGTATGCGTTTGGACTGCAGACATTTGCTGTAAATCACTTTAAATCAGTCCTAAAACGGTTGTGCACATTGTCAGCTATATAGCTTGAAAGTGTTTGGTCCTGACAACTAAAAGCTACAGTGCATATCACTCTAAAGGGAAAATGTGATGCAATACTGTAAGCATGGAGGACGTTTAAACAAGAAAAAGAAAGGCAGGAGGCCAATGACATGAGGCTGTTACTACAACATGCTGTGCAAAAAGAGCAAATCTGTGCACACAATAGAAAGAAACATCGCATTGGCTTTTCCAGTTTTTAAAGTGCTTTTGCTGCATTGTTTATTCCTTTAGATAAAAACAAAGACACAGATATGTTAACTGATCCAATAAATAATAAAGAAGCTGGAAATATCCATCCGCTTGCGCACCAATTTCTTTTACCTGTTAAATAAGATTTCCAGTCTCTCAGGTGTGCACTCTTTCAAATCAAATGCTGACACCTGTCTTGCTGAAACTAAAACCAAAGTTTCCCAATTCTGCAGAGTTGAAGTGCAGAGTTCCAAACTTCATCTGACATAAAAACTGTGTGCTGGAAGCTTCATGACATGATTTTACACGGCTGATCGGCTCCTGTGAGTGCAATGTGTATGTGAGCCAGTACCAAGTTTAATTCTTAGAATTAGAGAATACTAAATTGTCAAAAGTTTTAGAAAGGAACAAAAAATGGCTATATAATGACAGCTATGTTGCACCAATCATCCAGCCCTAAACATCCTACCATACAGATTAGATTGTATAAAAAAATATTAAAATACAATGACCCAGTTTAAATAGTTCAGCCCCCTCTTGTGCACCGACAGCAGTTGGAACTTTTCAGTGTTATGTGGCCACTACTGAGCTCCACTGTCATGCTTTATTTATCCCTTTCCCTTCTGCACTGTAATGGAAATATAAAAGGGTACATTGATTAGTGTTTAAGGATCAGGCTTTAATAGATTAAAAGCCCTCGGCTCAGAGAGAGGCACTCACTCACTCACACACAGACATACACACTTGTACGGAAAAGCAAACTTATACACACACCAATAGGCAAATTTATGGACGGGTATTGAAAGAGATGGACACAGTCAGTAACACAGAGTAGCTTCATTCATTTGGTTGAACAAAAACATTGCATGGACAGAAAACTGAGCATACATATCTGGAGCCAGCAGCGCAAAAAGCCAGAGCCCCAAGTCTTTCAGCAACCAGCTTTCTAACGTATTTGAGATGGGATTGGGGGGGGGGAATTAATAAATATCTGTAAAACAAAACGAAGACAATACAAAGTGGGGACCATGGTGCTAATATCCCAGTTGATTGGGAATTCATGCATTTTGAACTTAGTACATTATTAATAATGTGGCATGGTCCCAGACAGTTTCCACACACATACACACAGAGGGGTGATGTCAGTAAACGTTAGAAGACTCTTTTTTCTTCTTTTTTTTCTTTTTCTGCTCATTCTGTTGGTTTTTGTCTTTTGCCCTTCTCCCCCGTCCCTCTTCTCAGCTGTGTCTCTTTCCCTCTTTCTTTCTCCCCTTCTTTCCCCCAGTAAAGTCTGTCCCATATTCAGTAAGTGAAAATAAAATAAACAATAAAAGGTGAATCAAATGGACCATTATGGCAAGGCTGGGATGGTCAATTTGGTAAAGTAAATCCGTTGGGCATCTTTCTTTGCCTTTAGACAACAATTCTGATGGCAAAAGAGCCAAACGGGACAGGCAAAAAAAAAAAAAGAAGACTCTGTTTCAGCATCCCACATTTTGATAAAATGTGTTTCACATTATTACACATACACACCAGGGGATGATACACCATCATCAAATCTGATACACAGCATCCATTTTGACATGTTTGAAAACACCAAGTGACTGAAACTGTACTTCTGAGAAATGGCATAGTCTACTTAAAGTGCATCCCCCCTCTTCATTTATTCTCGCCTGCCCTTGTCTCCTAGCTGAGAACTTAAATTCCCACCTATACCTCTATTGTCACGTCTTAACTCCAAGAAGCACCTCAACTCCAAACCTATCCGGCATGTCCCCTTTCATTTTCTCTATCCTTTGCAGCTCTTCCTTTTCTCTGACCTCAATCCTGCAACTGGACATAATGGTGTTCTAGCATTTTATGTGCTCTTCCTTTTTCCCTTTGCCCAGTCATTTCTCCAGTCTTTTCAAGCTTTACACTCATCACAGTCATGTCTGCTGATGGTCTTGCCTAACCTTTAATCCTCCCCCCCACACACACACACGCACACACTCCACACCATTTTCAATTGCTACTACTCTTCCTCCAATGTTTGACCACAATCACACTTGATGTGTGCCGACTTTCTCTCTCCAGCTACTTTCCTTCAAGTTCCAATCATGCCCAATGGTATCAGTCTGTTAAAATGTCTTCTGCTCCATAATTGAATCTCTTGTGTCCTTATACTTTTCTTCATCCACCCCTCTGACCAAAACCGCTTTTGTTGTTAGCCTCCTCCTCACCTCTTGACTTTTCATTCCAGTTCTCTTCACTCTTTTTATCTTTCCCTCAAGAAGACATACTTGTAGCTATCCCAAGGCTTAATCTTGGCCATCTCTTGAATTTCCCTATTCTGCCTCAGGTGAGAAAATCTTTGCCTTTTCTTAAACTCAACTTTTCCATTTACTTCTCTTCACTTTATCTTCCCCTTAAGATTTGACCACAACCTACTCTATTAGTACTTCCACCTGATGTTTGTGTCTCACTTCTTCAGTTGACAGCTTTGCTCAAGTGCATTCAAGATTAAAATTGGTTATTTCAGGAGAATGATCAAATTCCCTTTCACTACCAATTCTTTCAGTTGGCCAGTTGGTGCTTTTATTGTGATCTATTTTTTTTTACAACACAGGGGATAAATAACAGTAAAACCCACACATTAAAAAGTGCCAACAAACAAGAGTCATGGCCATTTTACACAAAAGCACTGCAGTTACTTATCAGTCCAATCTAAATGTTGAATGTAAGTAAGCTACACATCGAACGGGTCTGTGTTCACTGGGAGTCTAACCAGGCTCCTAAATCTCTGAGCTGCTCATTGAACACACTGAATTTTGGACCTCTTCATTATGCTTATACGTTTGAGGTCTTAAGGAGCTTTTTTTTTATACACCAATTATCTGACAAATAATATGGTTTGCTGTGAAATTAACAGCACTAACACAATGTCAAAGAATAATGAGCTTCAAGTTTGTTACTGTTAAATGATAACTTAGTAGTCAAACTTATCTTCTAGAAGGAGTTTCTGCATCTGATAACTGATGACAATGGCCCTCTTTCACATGAAGTCCAGGATTTAAAAAAGTAGTAAAGCGTTTCTACGAATGGTGCACGTGTAAGCCGGAATAAACTTTAGACTGTATGTAGTCTAATGCTCTTTTAATGTCCCATTATACTGATCATAAATGCATCCCCAATCTGTTTATAGGAGCTCTGTGTAACCTCAGAACACTATTGTGGCTAATGACACATGCAGCCTTTAAGTGGACTGCTGTGTTGCTCATGTCTGCACACAGTTTGTGCTTGCACACTTTGTGCGAGCTTGCATCAGCCAAAATAGTGGTGAGACATACAGAAACAAAGGAGAGTCGTATCCTTTTGATTTCTGAAGAAAATTTGGCCTGAATCCTTCATATTGAAGTGCCTCCTTCAGCTGCTAGGGGTACCTAGTACAATCAGGGGAGGTCTGTTTTTCAAGTTAATTATTAGCCATTTGTTTGCTGAAAATAAAGTGTTTAACAGGTGAAATAGGTGCTATATACTCTGTACCAGCTACAGCAATGTGACATGTGCAAATGAGCTAAAACAAACAACATTTTCAGTCACCTGGCATGAACAGATTTTAACCTTGTAATACAGTGGGAATTTTCACAAAGCAAAAAGGATATTTTCCAGCTATTCTTTTATGTGCCGTGAATGCAAGATAACACAAGAAAGTTATGATTATATTTTATATCTTACATATGGAAAAAGAAAATAATGTGGCTGACATGTGCGTAGGGAAAATATAAAGATAGCAAGTTAGTCAATACAACTGAGCAGTTAAACTCACAATACAGAGGGATTAGTGGATGCACCACACGGCACGCATACACCGCCCCCAGTATGATTCTCCCACATCATGTATTCCTATACAGCATACATAGTGTACTACATTATACAGTTGCCTTAAGGCAAATTACCTCCAACAGTTTATTCTCAAGTTGCACTTATATAAAATGCAGTAAATCTGAAAAAACAGTTTAAATATTTAAAACACAAGCCCTGAAAAATATAGTAAAATACACAAATTGCACTTGGCTGTGTAGATAACAGTGTGTGGCTGCTGTCAGGTACAGCACATTTTCCTCTGGTATGCTAACAGAATGTGAATAGCCTTCAGAAGCTGTGCGCAAATCCACCTCAAAGTGTTTGCCCCCTACTGGAGGAGGCAGCTTT